AGCCGTACACACACACACACACACACACACACACACACACACACACAGGGTATTGACAGGCTCCAGCATAGTCACTGCAGCTCTCAGAGGCGTTTTAAACTGGACACCGCAGTGATCAGTGGTCCCAGCGTCACTGGATGAACCGTTACTAGATGAGCCGTTACTGGTCACACATTGTGACAGTCGTCACACGACTGCAGCGGTTTTGCAATAGAGCCACAGGCCTCTGCGGTCTGGAGCGGACCAGCAGGACATTTAGCAGGCTTACTGCACTACAAAGGCACATATCTAGCTAACGTTACTTACCTCGTTTACAATAAATACAGTGAGACAGTGTGTGACCGTTACAGCGCTATCAAACAGTCACGAACTGTAGCGTCAGTCCTACAAAGAAAGGACGCTAGCGCCCCAAAAACATACACAGACGTATTTCTTCTACAATACTGTATATTAATCACAACAACCGTCACCACAGCCCACCGAGAAGTTACATGACACCTAGCCTACATGTGTACTGTGGCTAAAGTTAGCCTCGGACAACACAGCTTCACGTTAGCTTAAAAAAAGCTATGCTAGTGAAATAACACGTAACGTCATGCTAGCGTCCACTGGACAGCGCGCACAGCTAGCTAAAGTTGGCGTGTATTTTGGCAGTAATGTCTCGTGCGAGACATCGCCTCCAGACTAATTCACATCGAGCCCTGTCACCCCGTCCAGACCCGTCCACATTGAGCTAACTAACGTCACCCATATAACAGCACAGGCCGTCGGACCCCCGGCCCTGTCTTACGTGTTGTCCTGGTTGAAGTTGGCGAAGAGAAGCTGGCTTCCGCCAGCATCCCCGCTTTGACTGGCTAAGTTCATGGGCTCGACACCATCGACATATAAAGCTCCGGTAGAAATAGCAGCTGGGCTGGAATTAGTTCTGCGATAAGACCCAGGAGTGTTGAGCTTCAAGGAGCCATCTCTTATTCCTCGCCCCGCTGTAGTGATTGTTGTTGTTTTTCACAGGGCCTGTTGCTCCCCCTTACTGCGCATGCGCCGAGCACGCAGCGTGCAGTGCCTTATTAAAGAGCCAGGACAGTTTTGTCAAGTGCAGAGTGCTGATGATAATTAATGTAAACATGCACGGTATGACCGAGAATAGATTTTTATTGTCCGTTGTCGCGGCTCCACGGGCGACAGAGACAGCAGAGGCAAACACGGCTCTCCAGGAAACACTCCACTGTACAGTAACTATTTGTGATTTGATGCAACAGCGCCACCCATCGTCAATATGTGCAAACAACATCTGAAAAGAAGGGGCGAGATACACAGTCTACTTTGATTGGTAGGCTATATATTATATTTATTCATCATATCATTGACAATACACACCAGCTCCTATCTTCTCTTAACCTCACCCTAACATAGAATATTAATGTTGTATCTAGTTTTCATCACACAGTTTGTAAAGCTGCTACTCACTTCAACGGCTCTACCATTAATTAGAAATAATTATCTTTATTCAAAAACATGTCTTACCTTTCCTAAACATTTTGAATGTTTCCATGTTTGAACAAAACACTCAATATTAAACCATAAAGCTCAACCAGCCAACTGTTTTTATATGAATTGACAAAACTGTACTGTCAACTTGCTCCGTTCTTTCTGTGCATTTGGTGTCACTGCAAAGAATAACAGTTATACACTTTGTCCCTTATGTTGTACTGTTCTGGTATAAGGAGTTACCCATGTCTTAAAACAGCACCTCCTCCTGATATGCTATTAGACAAAGATACATTACATTTACAAATCACACACACGCACAGACACACACACACACACACACACACACACACACACACACACATACACACACACACACACACACACACATATACACAGAGGCGTGGGATGAAGTGTGGGATGATGAGAAGGAAACTGTTCTGATGTTGATCTGATGTGTGTCAACTGTGTAATTTTGGGTGTGAGTTCATGGTTGCAGTTTCAGGTGTAAGTCTGAGCATGTCAGAGAGTGATTGTGAGCGATACAAATTATTCAATGGATAACATCATAGAGCCAAAGACACTGCAGACAGCTGCTCACCCTGTGTGAGGATCTCACAGAACTAAAGACGGATGTAGAGTATCACTATCAGCTAGTTGGCACAAGTATAAATAAAAAGGAAAGAAAGCAAGACACAAAATTGACAAAGGTGAGAAAACCACAAACGCTCAACTGTCCCAGGAGAAGAAAGCCAATCCACCACGATCAACTCTTAGCCAGTAGTGGAAGAAGTATTCAGATCTTTTACTCAAGTAAAGGTATTAGCGTGACAGTATACTTAAAGTACCAAAAGTAAAAGTATCATTATGCAGAATGGCCCATTTCACAATGATATATTTGTTATGATATATTACTGGATCATAATTTAATGATGCATTCATGTGATCATCATTTTAATGTTGCAGCTGAGGTGGGGCTAATTTAAAGTACTTTATACTGCTGGGCAGCTTAATCCATAATTATACATCATGATTTATTAATTGATTTTTTTAAATTTGCATTTAAATCTGCAGAGTAACTAATGTTGTCATATAAATGTGTTGGAGTAAAATGTACAATATTTGTCTCCAAAAGGCAGTGGAGTAGAAGTACAAAGTAACATGAAATTGTATAATTACAGTACTTGAGTGAAGGTACTTCGTTACGTTCAACCCCTGCGTTTAGCCTATTGAATGCCTCTGTTGTCCTTCACAGCGATGATGTTAATTAAACCAAATGTTGCATAAGTTCAGTACCTAAATGTCAAAGTAGTACGTAGTGTGTACATGCTCCTTTATTAAAGCACTACTAAGCAGAACAGAGGTCTCCTAAAGAGCATCACAGACGCAGTCATTATGACATTTCCTCTGTGGAAAGACCACAGTGACTTGCTCCGTTTAGTTAATCAGGGGGTTCTTTGTTTGCTCCTGTGTGGTCGTGATTCTGTGCCAGCTGTGTCCTTTGGCCCAGTTTACTGCTTTCAGGGGCCGCGTGTCGGCCTCTCCAATAGAGGTCCATCAGCAGAGGCAGAGCTCCAACACACTATGTACATGGCCTTTGGTTTACACAAGCCGTATAACCCCCAAACAAACATGGTGGACGGAGAGACAGAGGCGGAGTTTGTCAAATAGAAAGCAAAACTGCATAATCCAGCTTGAAGAGGAAAACAAAGAGTCACGTTTATTGATAATGACAATGATGCTATGATGGTAACACACAGAAAATATACCACCAAACATAAAATGTCTTTTATGTTTGGTTCATGGCTTTAATATGAAATCAATCTACCTGCTCTAATTTTTTGAATGTAATCACTCTAATCTATATTTTTCAGATGTACAGTGTTAGCTGTATACCCACAGTGTGTGAACTGTACAGTGTGTTGGGAATAAAACCTATGCGCTGTACAAATATGCTTGTCTGGCCACTATCATTGGTGTTTTTAATCTTATCTGTAAACACAGTAACACATTAATGTCGGAAAGTTGTTTGAATGTCTGTGTGTGTGTGTGTGTGTTTGCATAATGTATCTGTTCTGTCTCACACAGCTGCTGCACAGTGCAACAAAGGGCCTCTGCTGGCCACAGTTATTGTTGGGTAATATTTCATTTTCCATTCAGTTTGAGCGTGAGTGTTATGTGAAAGAGAGGCATGAGTGGATCTCCGAAATAAATTTAGCGAGAGAGAACATAACGCTACTACAAAGATGAACCATATTAGTTGAGTACCAATAAACAACATTTGTCTTTTATCCCTGCTGGTCCTCTGTCGTCTGTATCTGCATCAGACATGTTTGAGACTGAACCCTATGACACATTAAATCATTTACTTTTTAGGTTTAGGCTTTAGCTGCATTATTTGATGCATTGGTGTGAGAATGTGTTGGATTGCAAGACCAGACATCTTTTTTTCGGGGGGGGGGATATTGGGCTGTTAGGAATCTTGGATGCAGCTTTCACTCTACAAGAAAACACATACCGTTTGAGGGGTTTTTAAAGGGTGAATCATATGTTTTTAAGACAAAAAATATTTACATTTCACCACTGTAAGGCCAATAGATAAATACAGGACTCCACCTGTTTATTCCTGGCAGTAGGCAGAGAATTTAGGAAATCAAAATCAGTGGTGGAAAACGTGTACTTATCTAAAAGTATGTGAATGTAAAAAAACACCTGAAAACAAGTAGTAGTCCTTCATTAAAAATTCCTCTGAAGCACATTATCAACAAAATATTCCAAAGTAAAAAAAAAAGACTTGTTCTGCAGAAACATGCCCTCTGTGACTGCTATATTATACATTAATAGACACATTAGTGTGTAAGCAGCATTTTATTGTTGTAGCAGTCACAAGAGGTGAATTCACTCCAACTCCCCATAAACAATAATGTTGAGAACCACTTAATCTTAAACAAGGTGTCGTAAACCATACATTTATAATCTTATGACATATTGTTAAGTCTTAATCTGTAAAGTAACTAACTAAACTGTAATACAACTGTGTACAATATCTACTTCTGAAATACAGCGGAGTAAAAGTAATAACCCAAGAAAGATCAAGTACCTAAAACAACATACTTCAGTGCAGTATTTGAACAAATGTACAGTCACTTTGCAGCACTCAATGAAATGTTCAGAATGCATCATTGAACAGTTGACAGCAAAATAAAAAATGAAGAATAATGAGAGAACACGTTTTTTGTGTTCTCTGAGGGGGTCAGCGGTGCGTTTCGGGAACCTTGGACTTCTGAAAACCTGACTGCAGCTGACAAATTGTGCTTTTTTTGCCCGCCAGTGTGTGTTTACATTATTTTCTCACCCACGACAACATGAATGACTTTCTCAAATTATTTATTAATGATTGGTCGTTTCCCCCCTGTGTCACATTCTCTGTATTTCCCTATTATGTATATTATGTCCAAACAACATTTAAAACGGAGGCAGGGGAGGGAGTCGTTGTGTCGTGGGGAGCTGTTTCTGTTTGCTGGTGTGTTATCATCAGCCTGGATAGGGGAAAGGGGAGGGGAGGAGAGGGGAGGAGGGGTTACAAACCCAGTCCCGCGGAACATCCTGCGAACACATCTGAGACTCGGAACAAAACTCTGCACAGTTTCCCCTCACGCGTCGCCTCCGCGTCCCTCAGCTGGATGGCACGTCGTTTTCCCGCGGGAGGAGTCCCGACACTTTAGATAAAGTCGCGAGCTCGTTGTTGTGGAGTTGCCTCCGCGGGGTCGATGTTCCTCTCGGACTTTTTTGTGTTTATGTTTGGACTCGCGGCGGTGGGACATCCGGAATGGGGGATCCGTAGGAGGAGACGAC